GACTCACGGTGGACGATACAGTCTATGGTGAAGCCGACTGATTGTACGGAGAACTGGGAATGTATATATGACAGATGCAGATTCAAAAGTTTGACCGGCGATGAACGAATTTGGTTTTGTTTGTTTGTTTGTTTGTTTGTTGTTTAACGCCGCACTCAGCAATATTCCAACTATATGACGGCGGTCTGTAAATAATCGAGTCTGGACTAGACAATCCAGTGATTGACAACATGAGCATCGATCCACGCAATTGGGATACGATGGCATGCATCAACAAAGTCAGCGAGCCTGACCACCCGATCCCGTTAGTCGCCTCTTACGACAAGCATAGTCGCCTTTTACGACAAGCATGGGTTGCTGAAGACCTATTCTACCCCGGGTCTTTACGTTTTGGGATTTGAAGACATATTGATATTATTCAGAACATCAAGCATGTCCATTGAAGGGTCACGATTTCTTTCCTTTTGTAAAACCTGAGTATAAATTATTTATTTATTTTCACACGAGAAAGTAATGTGAATTCGAATTTGCGAAAGTGTGTAAAAGGCACCTTCGTCACTTTCATACAGCTTGACTATTGCTTAGATCGGCGTTAAAGTGAATTGGTGAAAAGTAGGTGCAAGCGATCTTACGCCCCACACTTAAGCATATACTTATCACAGTCGTAGCAAAGATCGCTTTGTGCAAGTGCGCTCAGGGAGTTTTGCTAGAGATAAAATATTTTTCAGTCATTGCTTCAAGATAAAATATTTCTCTGGAAAAAAAGAGCGAAACACTTTTTGGGGGGATCCACAACACATTATTTTTTTCAAAACGAAAATATCGATCCGTTTTATGTGAGAAAATACGACAAATCAATCAGAATACGCGTAAAGACAGGTATTTTGACCAAACAAATTCGTGTACTTTGATCAATTACGGCATTATGTGATCGTTTAAAAAGTTGTGCAAATTATATAACGCTTTACGCCTACATTCGTGTTTGGATATGGCGCATTACAAGTAGCCATTATTGTTTTCTTTATATTTATTTGTTGCTATTATTATCGTCTGTTCAACGTGAAATACACAATTGTGTTATAATAAAATGAATTATAAGGATTGTTTACGACTCAATCACTGCGACAGTCTTTCCGCAGAATTTGACGATTTTGTTAGCCACCTTAGTTAAATTCAAATCGTTTAAAAATTAAATATATCGATGCGTAACTGATTAACGTTTGTAATGATAAATATTGTGTTCACATGTCAGTTCATTTACAATGTTTTAATAGTGAATATAATAAAGGTTTAATAAGAGACAATGAAAAAGCTTACAGTAGAACACGGATATAACGAACACGGATCGAGCGAAGTAGTAGTGGTAGGAGTATTAGCAGTAGTAGTAGTTGTAGTGGTAGGAGTACTTGTAGTAGTAGTAGTAGTAGTAGTAGTAGTAGTAGTAGTAGTAATAATAGTGGTAGAAGTAGAAGTACTTGTAGTAGTAGTAGTAGTAGTAGTAGTAGTAGTAGTAGTAGTTGTGGTGGTGGTAGTGTAATTCATTTGATTGTGGTCATATTGATAATTTGGTCATGCTCATCATGGTATTGTGATCTTGATATTGTGACCTGCATGGAACTGTGATCTTGATGTGTGACCAGCTTGGCATTTGTTATCTTGATATTGTATCCAGCACAGTATTGTGATCTTGATATTGTGACAGCATGGTATTGCGATCTTAATATTGAGATCTTGATATTGTGACCAGCATGGTCTTGCCATCTTGACATTGTGACCAGCATAGTATTGCCATCTTGACATTGTGACCAGCATGGTCTTGCCATCTTGACATTGTGACCAGCATAGTATTGCCATCTTGACATTGTGACCAGCATGGCATTTGTTATCTTGATATTGTGACAGCATGGTATTGTGATCTTGATATTGTGACAGCATGGTATTGTTATCTTGACATTGTGACCAGCATGGCATTTGTTATCTTGATATTGTGACAGCATGGTATTGTGATCTTGATATTGTGACAGCATGGTATTGTTATCTTGACATTGTGACCAGCATGGCATTTGTTATCTTGATATTGTGACAGCATGGTCTTGCCATCTTGACATTGTGACCAGCATAGTATTGCCATCTTGACATTGTGACCAGCATGGCATTTGTTATCTTGATATTGTGACAGCATGGTATTGTGATCTTGATATTGTGACAGCATGGTATTGTTATCTTGACATTGTGACCAGCATGGCATTTGTTATCTTGATATTGTGACAGCATGGTATTGTTATCTTGACATTGTGACCAGCATGGCATTTGTTATCTTGATATTGTGACAGCATGGTATTGTTATCTTGATATTGTGACCAGCATGGTATTTTGATCTTGATATTGTGACTATCGTGTGATTGTGATCATAGTGGTGTTGAGATAATGCTGATTTTTTATCATTGCTGTATTGTATCAACTGGTGCATGTGCCATGCCGACAGGCTACTATGGTTAAACAACGACACATGTATACACAAGCACACACAAGCACACACATACACACACATGTATACACAAGCACACAGCCACACAAACACACATACGTATATACAAGCACACAAACACACACACAAGCACACAAACATACATATGTATACACAAGCACACACAGACACAGACACACAGAGACTTAAACACACAAACACACAGACACACACACACCAAGATGACCAAGACTAGATGTTCCTCCCACATTGTTTATTGACACAACTTCCATGTGCACATCATTGCACGTGCTACATACACAATATGTACATCTACATGACAGCCTTCCATCAGCCAACACTGGAGCAATCACATGCTTTGTCAGGGTTAGCGTCATCACAAGGCCCTGGCCGCTGTAACGGAACCTGTACAATCCACACAAGAAAACCAAATACTGTTAAACCCTGTCCTAAAGATGGACCCTGTCTTTGTGAAGAGAACAGACATTGCATTGTCCTTTGAATAATAATAATAATAATAATAATAATAATAATAATAATAATAATAAAAAAAAATTAAAAAATTTAAAAAAAATAAATAAATAAATAAATAATAATTAAAAAATGTATAATAATAATAATAATTATTATTATTATTATTATTATTATAATCCACAAACTTATATAATAACTTAAATATATGAGTCATTTTTGGTCATCATAATCATAACTATAATTTGTAATATATCGTTGTCAGATGTCTGAACATGACATTAATCTCAGCACCTCACTATTTGGGTTTCTTATGTCTTGATGGCCAGGGCTCTTAGCTGTTTAACACAAAACACAATATAGTCCACAACAGAAATAATGACATTACCTTGTCATTAATTCAATAAAATCCAACAGAAATATAAGGATGTCAAGCGCGGATATAGCTTTTTGGAAAAGGTTGAACACATTTTGCAATTGCCAAAGATCAATTATTAGGTAATTTTGTGGAAATACACACATAATATGTCAAGTGTATATTTAAACTAACTGACATTTCTGATGATCCCTGGGGCGGTCGGGTAGCCTAGTGGTTAAAGCGTTCGCTCGTCACGCCGAAGACCCGGGTTCGATTCCCGACATGGGTACAATGTTTGAAGCCAAATTCTGGTGTCCCCCGCCATGATATTGCTGGAATATTGCTAAAAGCGGCGTAAAACCAATCTCACTCACTCACTCTGATGATCCCTAACAAAACTGGAGTCGTATTAAAAAAAAGCTGCATTGAAATGAACTGCTTGGAATGGGCAGAGGGTAGGGGACAGCTTGTATTGATCGGTTTGAAGATATTTGTTTGTTGTGTTGAATTTCAAAAGATTGTGTTAAGTTGTGTTAGGCTACATCAAGAATATAAATTGCAACAATCAAAACACAGCAATCAGTTTGTGAATGGGGCCACAAGGTCAAGAATCTAGAGTCAGTCTTGTCAAAAATTACCCACATGACTGAAAACATCCACAATACAAATACACTTGGACTCAGCCTCTTTCAGACTTCAAAGTCTCCATCTACATCCAAAAGTTCTGGAAAAACTCCTGTCTTCATTAGAAAAGTTACCCACCTTCTCGCATCCAGCCCCCAGAAGATGCTCCTACAAAAATGCAAGCACATGAACTACGTATTTCCCCAGTAGCCAGACAATGCCTTACTGTTTCCAAGAATGTCTAAACATGAAATACATATGGCTCAAGTTACCGGCACGCAATTATGAATAAGAGCTTTTTTCTCCGAAATTCCTCAGGTGTGTGAATCTGATCGGAAATGCTTGCTTCACATCCTGAATTAATTGTGCAAATTAATTACTTGCGTTTCTAATTACCAGAGCGTAAGAGTCTGAACGTGGTGATGACATTGTGCCAGAAGGTACATCACACTCGCATGTACTAAAAAAGTCCAGATCTTTTTCTCCAAAGAATGTCAGCCACTGATTTGAGTTGAGCCAGTGTATTTCACACTAAATTTAGATGTATCATAACGCCTCATTTCTTCCAGCCCTTGTGGCTACGATAATGAACGTAAAGAGCTTTGCAACTCAGACAGGGTGGCGGGCAAGTGTTGGCAAGGAAAGGTATGGGTCAGATGGGGGATCGGGATGCTTTGGGAATACATGTAGACTGACTTTGGGTGGGGGCAGACCTCCAGTTTGGGAGGGGACAGTATGACTGGTCTGTCTTAGTGCTGATTTTGGAAGATCTACCATTTTATAGTCTGGAAGGTAATTTAAGGTGCCGACGTTTACTACAATATCTGAACCAATCAACTCAACTCGAAAGGGTGCACGGGAATCACGCACACACGAATACGGTGTTAGCGTTGGGCGTCTCAACGTGCGTGATTCCCGTGCACCCTTTCGAGTTGAGTTTATTGGTTCAACTGTGTCATATGGCCCTGTGACGCAGGGGTAGCATTATGCAGATGGCTGTTTCAATGACGAACAGGTCTGGTTGTTGATGAAATATAGTGATAGCTGAATAGACAGATTTTTTATTCATGCACCGATTGTCTTTAAATGTAATATCCAGTTATGTATGACTGTTTACTAATCTCATACCAACTTTGACTGGAGTAGGTCCAATAGTTTTTCAGATATTGTAGTAAACGTCGGTACTTTCCAGACTATAGTAGGCTGTTTGGTAGGGCTCTGATGGGTGTGGGGTAGAATTTAGATATGTTTGGTAAGGGCTATGTTGTGTTTGGGTTAAAATGAATGAGTGAGTTGGGTTTAACGCCGCTTTGAACAGTATTCCAGTAATATCAGCTTGATGTGAGAGGTATCCAACAGTGATGTAGGTCTGAGATGTTTACCACTTTTTTTAAATCCACGAACATGGCGATGGTGTTGACAATCCTAGAAACATAATTGGGGTGAACTGGGATCCGAACCTACGATGATAGGTTTTTGGCACACCCAAGGGACAAAGCTCTGCAGAGCGAATTACGGCACCTTAAACACCTGGGCCACCCGTGCCCACGTTTGGGGAAGAAGACTGTATGAAAAAACTATAAACAAAGATAACCTGACATGTAACAGTAAACAAAATGACAGAACCTCAAAATGAACATAACTAATGCACATGAACTTTCTGTTGTGGACCACATGTTGCCAATTACGTGTGAACCGAGTCAAGTGACCATAAGTCACATGACTTCAAGGTTCACACTTATTAACCTCATCCGCCCCCACCGGCACCCCCTCGTCTCGCTGGGCGGAACGTTCCGGAGCTGGCTCCTCCCATCAGGGGATTGTAATCTGCAAGAGAAATGACAATGTTAATCACTAGACTTATGTAGGGATCGGGTTGGATCACACATGGGATTCACTCACGGTGGGGAGGTGGGGTAGTCCTGTGGTTAAAGTGTTTGCCTGACATGGGTTGGATGACACATGGGATTCACTCAACCTTAATTTATCAAAAAGCATTCCATCTCACAAATCTCACAGCTAAGACAGTCATCAATAATATGACTGAAGTGCCATATCTGCCTTCAAGCCTGAATATCTTCAACAGTTACTGCTTGGTTGGTTGTTGGTTTGTTGTTTAACAACGCACTCAGTAATAGTCCAGCTATATGACGGCGATCTGTAAATAATCGCGTCTGGACCAGACAATCCAGTGATTAATATCATGAGCATCGATCCACGCAATTGGGATCGATGACATGCATGAACCAAGTCAGCGAGCCTGACCACCCGATCACGTAAGTCGCCTTTTACGGCAAGCATGGGTTGCTGAAGACTTGTTCTACCCCTAATCTTCACGGGTCTCAACAGTTACAGCTACTAGTCGTCCAAATGTGCTGTGTGTTTAACAGCTTTGTTATAATCCCTGGTCCCTGGGATTAAATGTAAGACTGCCCTTTCAATTTCAGTTTGTCATTGTATACTCTTGTGTGCTTCACAGTCTACCGGGGCAGTGGGGTAGTAGTGGTTAAAGCATTGGCTTGTCACGATTAAGGACCTGGTTCAAATCCCTACACCGGCACAATGTGTGAACCCATTTGGTGTCTCCTGCTGTGACATTGCTAGAATATTGCAAAAGGAGGCGAAAAAACCATACTCACTCACTCACTCACAGTCTACAGGACCCATGAAGATCCGGGGTAGAATAGGTCTTCAGCAACCCATGCTTGCCGTAAAAGGCGACTATGCTTGTCGTAAGAGGCGACCATGCTTGTGAGAGGTGACTTAGTGGATAGGATTATCAGGCTGGCTGACTTGGTTGATGCATGTCATCGTACCCCAATTGTGTGGATTGATGCTCATGATATCAATTACTGGATTGTCTGGTCCAGATTCGATTATTTACAGACCGCCGTCATATAGCTCGAATATTGCTGAGTATGGCATTAAATAACAAACAAACAAGCAAACAAAACACTGGAGCTCACCTATATATTAATAATATTAAGTGGGGAAGGTAAACTATTATGCCAGCTGTTTCTTAAAAACCTTACAACCAAAGTTTTGCATTACATGAGAACTTTTCATTGGTATTCTTTCAGAGGATTTTTCTGAACATTTATTGATACATAAAAATCATAACAATAATAAGGCCATTATATTGCCCTATATTTCAACACCACGGAGGGGCGTACTTGAAGCGCTACATTATTTTACCCCAGTCAGTGGATGAATGTGCGCACGATTTTATTTTTTCAGCTACCCCGGGAGTATACAAGCCAATCTGCAAGTGAGGCTCTAGGTGGTTTAATAATGATAATAATAATAATAATAATAATAATAATAATAATAATAATAATAATAATAATAATAATTATAATAATTATAATAATAATAATCATCATCATCATCATCATCATCATCAGTAGAGATCAGTTAGGAAATGAGTTGTTGAATGTCAAGTTTATTTTCTTCTTGCAGATGGTCTGATTCTGCGGAGATTTGAGGTCATGAGGCAATGCATATTTGAAAGGATCTGGCAATTTCCACAGAGATGGAGTTAGAGAGGGAGTCCTGGTTTAACACAGCTTTGAACAGTATTCCAGTCATATCACGGTTTGTCAGCCTAATGTTGGGAGGAAAGCCCGAAGTGATGCAGGTCTCAGACGTTAACCACGAGCATGGGTATGGTGCAGACATATTGAATGAAATTTTGAATTAAATAATAAAATAGATTACAAACATAAGTCCAGTTATACAATGAACACTTAAATAGTGTCACAAAAGGGTTAACTTGCGTAATTCAATACAGAATTTTTAATATTCTATTTCCGATGACGGATCATGACAGTCATTTATATGACCCCCTGAAATGATACTAAAGAGAAAGTCAGTGCGTATTATATTTTCCAGAATTTAATATTCCATAATAAGGGGTGCGCATAACACACGAGTGCATATCATACTCGAATAAAAAAGTTTTGTGTACACTGATCAATCGGAAGGGGCGCGTATTGGGATTGTTCATTTGCCAATATATTAGCAAATATCGCCATGGGCAATTATTACATCGAATACAGCAATTGAAATATATTCTAATGACCATCCTCTGAAATTCTGAAAATACGGCCAAAGGTTTCTGCAGAGAAGAGGTTGGCGCCAAGGCTGATGTTTTTAATATCAAAATGAACTCCTGCAGCTGACATTTTGAATTTTTCAGTAAACATAATTTACTTTATTGAATATATGTGAAAATGATATTGATATGTTCAGTAGAACATTGATACCTTTTACAATCAGAACAAAGTTTTTGAAACAAAAACTTCTAAATATGTTTGGAAATATTACAAAAGCTTCACTCAAATTAACAAAACTCTATAATCTATGCTAATCATCCACTGAAAACATGCACGAAGAACTCCGTAAATACTTTCATCAGTAGGAATCAGAATGTCATTTTTGCAGTGTCTGGAATAATGGTACCTACAAGACATGTCTCCATCATGATTAAACACACCCCTATCATTACCCCAGAATACTGGTAGTATAAGCTCAGTGATAAGATACCAAGCTTGTCCAAGATACTCTTAAAGCAGAATAGATTATCATTAACGTCAGAAGTTTTTCTTTGCTCTGAGAGATAATCGAGGCAGGATTTGCAGAAAAACACTAATATCAATGTTCATTCTAATTATAGATAAGGGATGTTAAGTTGTGTGCTCAGATTTGAATTATGATCATGATTTTCAAAATAAGGTAGAATGTGAGGTAATATTCTCTGTATCCAATCATGCTCTTGGCCATGCAATGTCTGGTTTCCTAATCTTCAACATAACAAAAGGCAATAAGAATGTGAATTAAATTTGAATTCATACATCTTGTTTGTTTGTGCAAAGCTTCTGTCAGTCAGTGTGCAGCGCATTAGGTGAGTGAGTGGGTGGTTGAGTGGCAGGGTGGGTGAGTGAGTGGGTGAGGGAGTGGGTGAGTGAGTGGTTGAGTGAATGAAAGAGAGGGAAGGTGAGAGGGTGGGTGGTTAAGTGGCAGGGTGGATGAGTGAGTGGGTGAGTGGTTGAGTGAGTGGTTGAGTGAATGAAAGAGAGGGAAGGTGAGTGAGTGAGTGGTTGAGGGAATGGTTGAGTGAGTGGGTGAGTGAGTGGTTGAGTGAGTGGTTGAGTGAGTGGGTGAGTGAGTGGTTGAGTGAGTGGTTGAGTGAGTGGTTGAGTGAGTGGTTGAGTGAGTGGTTGAGTGAATGGTTGAGTGGCAGGGTGGTTGACAGAATGGTTGAGTGAGTGGTTGAGTGAGTGGTTGAGTGAGTGGTTAAATGAATGGTTGAGTGAGTGGTTGAGTGAGTGGTTGTGTGAGTGGTTGAGTGAGTGAGTGAGTGAGTGGTTGAGTGTGTGGTTGAGTGAATGGTTGAGTGGCAGGTTGGGTGAGTGAGTGGTTGAGTGAGAGGTGAATGAGAGAGAGGGAAGGTGAGTGAGTGGTTGAGTGAGTGGTTGAGTGAGTGGTTGAGTTAGTGGTTTAGGGAGTGGTTGAGTGAGTGGTTGAGTGAGTGGTTGAGTGAATGGTTGAGTGAATGGTTAAGTGAGTGGTTGAGTGAGTGGTTGAGTGAATGGTTGAGTGGCAGGGTGAGTGAGTGAGTGGTTGAGTGAGTGTCTGATAGAGTGGTTGAGTGAGTGGTTGAGTGAGTGGGTGAGTGAGTGGTTGAGCGGCAGGGTGGGTGAGTGAATGGTTGAGGGAGTGGTTGAGGGAGTGGTTGAGTGAGTGGAAGAGTGAATGAGAGAGGATAGGTGAGTGAGTCAGTGAGTGAGTGAGTGAGTGTGGTTTTACACCGTTTTTAGCAATATTTTAGCAAATATCACAGCAGGGGACACCAGAAATGGGCTTCACACATTGCACCCATGTCGGGAATCCAACCCGGGTCTTCAGCGTGATGAGAGAACGCTTTAACCTCTAGGCTACCGGACTGCCCATGTTAATGGAAGAACCCTGAACAGACAATGGATGGATGATCAACAATTATATGCTACACATGTTCCTAAGATTTCAGATTCATTCAATCAGTCGGTTCGGATGAGGAAGAAGAAGTTAACAGATGGACGATGAACAGATGTCTGACGGATGATGGACAAGTAAGTATATGCCAGACATGTTAGACAAGCTTCAGACTTAATCCTTCAGTCAATTCACACGAGAAAGAACTTAACAGTAGGATGAGGAAGAAGTTCATAGATGGACGATGGACAGAAGATCGACAGATCATGATAATCTTTGCTCACTTGGACACAACAAGTCACACACGATGCAGCAACTCAGAGAAGCAAACTGTAATACAATCCTACATCGGAGCCTTGACGGCATATTAATGTGCATGATTTGTCTGGTGGTGAAATACTAATTTGCCAATAGATGGATCATCAGTCTGATGAGGACAGTATATTGTTGCTGAAGCTGGTTTGCCCTATGGACTAGGGTGCTGCTTCTCAGGAAACAACTTCATAAATACCATCGCCTGACTACAAAGGTACTTGTGCCATTTCTCGCAGTATTTGTCACTGCTAAACGCTGGCACATTAACAGGAATCCTTCCAGAAGTAATCAGTCCCTAGTTGAAGATACAAAGGTCAGACTGAATATCAGTAACGAGTTAGTCACAAGATATTGTGAGAAATCAATTTATTGTCTACATTGTGGTTGTTCCAACAATAAAAGTGTTTGGTTTATCTGAAAGAATAGCCCCAGGAGCTTCTATTTGGAAAACTTTAGGCTCAATCCAACTTCGACTTTCTCCCATTAATCTTTGTTGTTGCATCATCATGTGACAAGATATGTAACAGTTTACGAGAAAA